AAAGCAAAATTAGCTTGGTAAGGAATCTCAAAGTTACCAAGCAAAATTAGCTTTGCAACTTACTTCTTGGCGAGCAAAATCAGCTCGGTAAGGAATCCCAAAGTTGGACAAACCACTCATCTCCTTGTTGGTGAGCAAAATCAGCTTGGCAAAGAATTTCAAAGTTGGCGAGCAAAATTAGTTCGACAAGGAATCCCAAAGTTAGACAAACCACCAGCTTTCTTCTTGGCGAACAAAATTAGCTCGGCAAGGAATTTCAAAATTTGTGAGCAAATTAGCTCAGCAACTTACTTCTTGGCGAGCAAAATCAGTTCAGTAATGAATCACAATGTTGGACAAACCACCAACTTTCTTCTTGGCGAGAAAAATTAGCTTGGTAAGGAATCCCAAAGTTGGACAAACCACCAACTTAATCCTTTGAACAAAATCAGCTTGACAAGGATATAAAAAAGTTTATCCAAGGGGTAGCATAATTCATCTTGCCCCCTTGATCTATAAAGTGTGGACTGCATCTCAGTATATTTGATCAAAATAATTTATTAACTATTTAAACACCAGTAATGAAGACAATGAAGACTGTGGAAAGAACACTTGCGTTGTCATCAGGAACAACTGCATATTTCTCAATTGGAGAAACCAAAGCTTTCCCTGCTCACAAATAATAATAATAATAATAATAATAATAATAATAATAATAATAATGGAATTCAATGTAGTCCAAAATAGTGTAATAAACTCTTATTGTAATATACGTGGGGAATTTTTTCATGTCTGATGGGAGTGGGAAGGGTTGGACTTAAAGGGTTCCTACCTGTCTTGGATTGTAGAATACACAAATTTATTTTGTAGGAACTCACATGTAGAGGGTCCATCAATAGGGAGATCATACATGTTCATGGAATAGGGTGATTAGCCTCTCATCAGTAAGTATGCAAATTAAAGTTATGTTTGGATAGTAGGAATTACATAGAATCTCATCATTACTAAAATATTCATTTCTGCATAAAAAGATAACAATATCACTTTATAAGATGAGATTCAAGCCTATTTATTTAATTAAGATGAGATTCAAGCCTAGACGGACTCATGGTATGCATCCTTAGTCCAATAAGATGAGATTCAAGCCTATTTATTTAATTAAGATGAGATTCAAGCCTAGATGGACTCATGGTATGCATCCTTAGTCCAATAAGGTGAGATTCAAGCCTATTTATTTAATTAAGATGAGATTCAAGCCTAGATGGACTCATGGTATGCATCCTTAGTCCAATAAGGTGAGATTCAAGCCTATTTATTTAATTAAGATGAGATTCAAGCCTAGATGGACTCATGGTATGCATCCTTAGTCCAATAAGGTGAGATTCAAGCCTATTTATTTAATTAATTGATAGTTTAGTTGACGTGGTGTTGAAAAACTGTCACACTACTGACCAAAATTAATTGAATATTTCATCTGAGTCCAAACAATACAAACATTTAAAAAAATATCATATACAGGATACTCACAATGACACGGGGAGGGCTTGTCAATCCACTAGAGGCCCTTTTTTCTTTCAAAAGAGCAGCCCGTTTCTGCTCCCTCATCTACGAAAAAAAAAAATGCAATCATGCCTTTAGGCAATGACAATATTATCTTTTATTCGATGAAAAGCTACAAATACAAGACCCTTAAGAGTAAAAAGTAATATTTTATTGCTGGTTTGAACACATAAAAGCTATGTCCTTGTACATCTGATATGGTAATGACCCATTGGACAGAACTCACCTGTGAGCCTTCCATATCAATCATATTTCCATTGGCCAGAATAGTATCAACAACTTGTTCGTTGTCAAATACAACAAATCCAAAGCCCCGAGAGCGTTTAGTGTCATGATCTCTTATGATCTCGTGTTCCACTACCTTTCCATACTTTGAGAAGAAATTCTTGAACTCATCTGAGAAGAATGGGGAACCAGTTTAACCAGGATAACAACAATAGCAGAAGAACATGCAAATTAAAATGTGCAATCCCAGACCGTGATCTGGGGGCAAAAAAGAAAGTAAATACCACACATTCAGTGATAGAGGTAGGTATCCCACCAACAAAAATCTTCTTTGTTTTAAAATCCTTAGATTCAGCAGAACCTTTCGGAATTGTTCTTTTGATCTCAACCTGCTCAGAAATTTGACCGTGTAAGTTGCAATGCCTAAACCTTCTGATAGAAGATATTATCTTGGTCAAAGTTCTATGCACTTTCAGAAAAGTG